GTTCATACATTTTCCTACACTCACAAGTCGTATAGAAATGCTAGGTATAATATTTATCTTAAAATTAATGACAGGATTGATTAATAGCCCGGCCCTCCTGGCTGAAATAAATTTTAATGTTCCCTCTCGAGTATCAAGACACTTTCGACCTCTATTTTTAAAGCCATGCAAAACTAATTTTGAACTAAACGAATCATTCCGTGGTTTATGTCAAGATTTTAACTCATTCCAGCACGTTTGACATATCGGACTCAATTTTTACTATAAGGAAAACTATTATTTCCACTCTCAATAATTGAAATACTATCTTTAGCATATCCAATCAGCTGATAAATTTGATTCTGTAGCTGAATAGTTTTAGATCTCGACACTTAACAATCTCCTGTTTCCAATACTGGGCACCAAAAAATTAAAAAAAAAAAATTCCGTACGTCATGCGGACTGCGCCCCTTGTGTCGGTTGGGCGGGAGTGGAGGGTAAAAAGGCGTTGGGATTAATTAAATATTTAAAATACGTTATTGATATCATAAACAGCTGTGTAAAATTTCAGGACATTAGCATAAGCGGTTCCAGAGATAAGCGATATGAGAATTTCAGTTTGTATGGGCGGTACCACGCCCCCCTTTCCAAAATCTACCACTCTTCGCCGTAAGTATGGTATTGACAACATATGTTGCTGTGTCAAATTTCAGGACGTTAGCATAGACGGTTCCAGAGATAAGCGATATGAGAATTTCAATTTGCATGCGCGGTGACACGCCCCTTTCCCATTATCTACCACTTTTCACCATAAGTACGTTATTGATATTATAAATAGCTGTGTCAAATTTCAGGACGTTGGCATAAGTGGTTCCAGAGATAGGCGATATGATAGTTTAAGTTTTTATGGGCGGTGCTACGCCCCCTTTTCCAAAATCTACCACTTTTCGCCGTAAGTACGGTATTGACAACATATGTTCCTGTGTCCAATTTTAGGACGTTAGCGTAAGTGGTTCCAAAGATAAGCGATATGAGAATTTCAGTTTTGTGGGAAGTGCTACGCCCTCTTTCAGAGTACCTACCATTTTTCACCGTAAGTAGGGTATTTACAATCTATGCATCTGTACTAAGTTTCAGTTCCCTAGCATAATAGGTTTTAGAGATATAGTGGTTTTCACATTTTAGCCTATATGTCAGATGCCACGCCCCCTATGTACCGGGATTAACGTTTCTGTATAAGAGGAAGTTATATCCTTTAAATCGGTGTATGTTTCATAGAAATCGAGCGAATGGTGCCTTCAAAAAAGGGGCTGCAAAATTTTCTTGGGGCGTATTTATATAGATATCATAAAAATCTATTTATAAAAATACATTTTTAAATTAATCTAAAAAATCCTCTTTAAAAGAATAAAATCTAAACTAAAAAAAATTAATTAAAAAAAAACAAAAATTAATTTAAAAAAAAAGAAAAATCACAAAAGCTCCGCTGCCCGACGACTCGGAGTCGAACTCGGATCTCTCAATTGGCAGTCTAGTGCTTTGCTCACTCGGCCATTTCGACTGCTGAGGCAGCGTGAGCAAAATGGCATAATGTCTTTTGTTTCCTCTGCACTAGCTGATTTCGAATCAGCATTCGAAGCTGGCTGCGATATTTTCGAGTTCAATCTGATTTAGTGATAGCTATTTTTTCGTATTCATAGCAAGCATTCGAATTCGTAGATTCTCTACGATGGATTCCGTGATAGCCCTGATTGCCCCTACCGTTACCAATATATTTATATCTCGAATATGAGCCAAACCGGACATTGAGACAAATCGCTTTTCATGGATGGCGGTGATGTCAGTCTTTATTTTCCCGAGGACATCAACCAGCGGACAGAGGCACCTTCCCGATTAAGGGTCCGGATATTCCAGGTGCATACCTTCAAATCATAATCATTTCTACGTTTGCCGTGATTGTCATCAAACGAAGGGGGTATCATCCGAGGTATGGTTTTTTACATTGGGTAGGGTTTTAACGTACAGGGACCCAAACCCAGCGCAGCCGGGGTTACACGTCTTCTCACATTAGCTCGCTGACAAACGGGTTTAGCAAAGGCGAGTATCTCAACTAAACCCTGATGTATTTTTTAAATTCATAGCTCTACACATCTGTATACCAAACAGCCGTACAAGGCGTTATAATAAATAAAAAATAAATAAAACAATTTCCGTATACTATGTCATATACCTCTGCAATTTTGTAAGATAAACTAAAAATGTATACATCGTTGCAAGCTGTAATTACTTAAGAAGTAAACGTCTTGGCTGTTCACCAAACCGGTCTATAGTTTTATCAATAATCTCTGATTGGTTCTCTAAAACAAACTTTATATTTACACTTAGAAGACACACACGTAAAGACAAAGTAATAAAAAATTTAACTATATATTTATTTATTAGCTTACCGTTCAATCTACTTTCGCTCATTGTCTACTACAGCCAGGTTTTTACCCTTCTTAAATGGAATTGCTTTGAAGTTAGCTAGAATAACTTGAAATAGAACCGGTTGATCCACATATTTACTTTTTTAATTATCAAAATTTACAAATGCTTTTGTTATCATTGAGAGTGTGATTTTATATATGCCTGACATAGGAAAAACTTTAAAGTTTGGGGGCCCCAAATTATCGAGCTAGCATTTCCTGGTACTATTTTTGAATATAAAGGAAATATTTTGCAAGTTAGGGGTGGGCCCCTACTTGGCTATGCCCATGTCTTAAGCAGTTATATAGAACAATAATTTTTACCTAATTTCATGATTTTCTTCCCTATTTTTAGTACAGTCAAGTTATAGTTGAAAACTAATTATCGGCATGGTTGTCAGTTTCCTTTGAATGCTTGGAGAAGGTTTGCTAGGGGTGTTAAAGTTGATTTGCGGGACCCGGGAAATTGTGGAAACATCGCCATTTTTTAAAGATATCTAGATATTACAACTAAATACTACAGGTCGGAGATCTTTTTAAAATTTCCAAACCACTTGCTGTTATTAAATGCATGTTCATGTAGCTAAAAATTTATTTCTTCAAAGTGACAAGAATAAAGGAATTTATCTTGCTTGGAGGATGAGCAGGCAACTGTAAAAAATTAAACGTTGTAATATCACGTACATAAATAAAAAAAACTTCTTTCAACTTACGAATACTTATGGGAAAAGGTATCCAAATTACACTGAGGAAAAAAATAAGTATCCCTCAAAATTTAAGGCGAAAATGTATCCATTTGAATACATATGTATGTATCAAAACGGCAACTCTGATACGTACACGCGATGGTTATGCTCTTTGAGCGTGTGCTCGCTCTCTGCCCATGCCTGACGTGCACGGTGCTTCAGACGCCTTTTCCGACTTGATCCGTTCTTGAGTCGAGTTAGTAGATAATAATTATTTAAAAATACAATTATTTATTTTTATATTTATAAATTAAAACTAATTTTACGCAGTTATTTGGCAAATATTTCAAGTTGTAAAATAAAGGAATGGATACGTTCATATCTTCAAAAAAGTTTTTTTAAATGAATTCTCGACATCTAGAAATACAAATTTTCGAGAAATTGTCAAACAAATTTTGGTGTCTTTGAAAATTTTTCGACACTTATGTATAATATTTATAATTTATGTATGTGATATATGTATGTAATAACATTTTAGTTATTAAATAAATTTATCTACATTAGGGTGCCCACCGAAAAATTAATTTTTTTGAAATTTCAAGACCCTACCGGGTCAGAAAATACGGTATTGTAGATTTATCAGTTTTTGAATGTCTATATTTCATTAAATTTTAAAGATTTTAAAGAACATTTTGTGAGAAGAGGATTTATAGGCTTTTACAATTATGTATAATAACCTATTGTTAGAATTGGATTTTTGGGAGTTTTCATCGGGCAAATAAAAAAAAAAACATTTTTTCGATTTTTTTTTTAATTTTTGACCATCACTAATTTCCACAATTTCAAAATATGTAGTACTATCTAAAACTAACAGCCGGTTTCACCAGCAATTTAAATGGAAAGTGATTTGCTTATTTTCTGTCGATTTCCATTTAAATTCAAAAATTTAAATAATTTTTCACTTAAATTATTTTCGTTAAATTGGCTGTAAATCTATTTTCACATAAACCGATATCTCATTTATTGCAATCGCATTAAAATTGTCGAAGTTTGGCAACTTTTTTTTTAATACGGCCTCGAATTTATATTGTGTATGTACCGGACTTTCAGATTTTTCCAGCAGTGTGGCTAAGGAATTCATCAATATTTATTCAAAATTTATATCTACAATTGCTCTTTAGCAAAAAAGTCGGTTCTCAATAAATTTTAAGAAAATGGGGGCGGCAAGTGGACAAGTAGTTTTTGACATACGCACATATGATATAAGTGGGCGGTGCTTCCCTACTTTTCCTAAATTTTCTTTAAAATCTATACATTATACATCAATTTTGAATAAACATATATTGAATATTGATAAATTCCTTAGCCAAACTCTGAAAGTCCGGTACATACACAAATATAAATTCAAGGCCGTATTTGATGAGGTATCAGTTTATGTGAAAATACATAGATTCAATTTTAGATAGTACTACATATTTTGGAATTGTGGAAATTAGTGATGGTCAAAACTTAAAAATATAAGAAAAAATGGTATTTTTTTATTTCTGACAATAGATGATACATCATTTAAAGGCCTATAAATCCTCTTCTCATAACATGTTCGATCTTTAAAATTTAGTCAAAAATAGTCATTCAAATACCGATAGATCTACAAAACCGTGGTTTCTGACCAAAAATGACAAGTCGCGACCTCTAAGCGATTTTTAAAAAATCTAAAAAAATAGGCAGTAATATTTCTCATGAAATTGAAAGAAATTAGGAGGTAGGGTCTTGAAATTTCAAAAAAAAAATTTCTTTGGGTACCGTAATAAATATATATACATATATAAATCATCATTAAATTTTTACATACATATTTTCTTCATTGCAGTACAAAACGGTTCGTTCTTCAGAGTTATCTGCCAAACTTGCCAAGGCTCGCCAGAAGGCCGACCAAGAAAACAATGCTCCAAGTGAAATATTTTAAGCAATTTTAAGGAAAAGCTTAACAAATAATGTGAATAAATGGAACTAGGCTCCTTAAGCTGCGCTTACTATGGATGCGAATTTTGGCGAAATTTTATTGTGACAAGTTTTGACTAAATACATACATATCTGTTTTCCGATGTGAGTAGCAAAAGGTGCATCAAATGGGAGTTTGCATTTTTCGTGGATACGAGTATTTGAGGAAAGTACGAGAACAAAAGAACAATATATATAGGTATGAACCATGATTCAATAATAGAAAGGTTTTGTAATAAAACAGTCTTCTCGCTCCCACACATAAAATCGGCTCCTTTACTTGTGCAGAATGTTGCTTACTCTATAGTTTCTAGTGATATTAGTAGTAAACCAGCAATTCTTCATACTAAATATTCGTTGGCGTCACCTTCGTTTGCGTAATTTTCTAGAACAAGTGTAGAATAGCGACCGTTTAGCTATAAAATAACCAAAAATGCCGATTGATAGAACTTTTTACGCTGATTTCAACGATACCAAATTTATTTATTATGTAAATCAGCTGAAGAACAAATTAATTACCTTTATGGTGACGTCATTAGCTTTTTAATCGGTTATAAAGTTCATAAGATATTAATATTTAAAATATCTAAAAACTGAACTTTAACCTTCTAGAACCTCTTCATATTTTACTAAAACTTCGGGTAAAATCTTGCAATTCATTCTCTACACAACTCTCCAAAAGTCGCTCTCATTTGCAGGATTTTGGAGTACGGGAACATTTTTCCTGCAACTTCCTGCAAGTTCATGTAAAATCCTGTAAGTTCATGGAGTACTGGATCAGAGCTTCTATTGGTCTTCATTTTTGGTTTTGGCGTAGCTGAACGGTCGGTATTCTAGATTTGTTCCAAGAAATGACGAATAACTTAAATCAAAAATGCATATTTTTATGTATTGTTTAGTATTTCCATTAAAACACGAAATATATTGCAAATTCGCATAGAATTAATAATACACATTTTACTTCTAATTGTATACTTTGCGTACTTTTTGTAGTACCATTCTACTACCGTTTTCGCAAAATGCGATCACATTCTTCCCCTTTCTCCTACTTCCAAAATACAAATCTAGATAAAGGAGTGTCAAATTTTAGCTGTCACAAATTACATAACCTTGTGTTATTGAATCATGCGTATGAACTAAACACAAGAAAAAGTTGTTTGCGAAGAGGTACAGAACTTCAACTAATTCCACTACTAACAAAAGTTTGGCAAGTGAAATACAACTGATTGTGAGTTCTCCTCAAAATGAAAATTTGGCAGCCTTCATTACTAGCATAACTCCTTACAGACATTTGGCACTCTCCTTTATATGTCATTAACGAGTTTTGCTTTTCCACTATTTACCAGCTTAACTTAATTAACGGAATTAAAGAAAAATAAATAACATATACATATATACATAGCTAAGTTCGTCCATCTTTGCTAGGAAGGTGAAACGCCTTGTTCTGACGGGCATTTCGGACTAACTCGTCGATGTTTCTTCAAAATTCGCATCTACCGTAACCGCAGCCTTAGTGGGCAGAAGACGAAAAATTTGTTTTCACTGATTTGGGCATTTTTGATGCTCTTAAAAAGGCAATTCTTTTAATGTGACAAATACATAAAGCTGAAATATATAAATTTATCACCATTTCAGAAATAAGAAAGCGTACTTGTAATGTTTAATATTTAAATTTATCTTCATTTTAGAAACAAGCAAGCGTACTTGTAATGTTTAAATAACTTCGTTACAAAAAAACTCCAAAGAAATAAGATTTCGGAGGTCATAAGAAATGATCTCTTTCAATATTCGGGCAATCTCAGACCTTAGCCACTTAAGGCTGGAATATGCGTATTACATCTTTTCGGTCCCGATCTCCGACATATTCAGCCCTATTCTGCATTTCGACTCGAATTGAAATTTTCCCCGTTTAGTAACTTTGGTATTCTGCGTTCCGTTTCCTTTCGATCAATCTTCGAAATTTACGATTAAATCTCTTCTACATTTCGATCGTAGTTCCGTTTTTCTAAGTTGTAAATTTGTTGTCGGAGAATGTTTCGATTGTTATTTCGACGTTATTGATATCATAAATAGCTGTGTCAAATTTCAGGACGTTAGCATAAGTGGTTCCAGAGATAAGCGATATGAGAGTTTCACTTTTTATGGGCGGTGCCACGCCCCCTTATCCAAAATCTACCACTTTTCCCTGTAAGTACGGTATTGACAACATATGTTGCTGTATCCAATTTAAGGACGTTAGCATAAGTGGTTCCAGATATAAGCGATATGAGAATTTCATTTTGTATGGGAAGTGCCACGGCCGCTTTCCCAGTACCTGTCATTTCTCACCGTAAGTAGGGTACTTACAATCTATGCATCTGTGCTAAGTTTTAGTTCCCTAGCATAATTGGTTTTAGAGATAGTTAGGGTACTCACAGTTTACTTCTAAAGTTAAAAGGTGGCAACTTTAACAAGATAACACACTCGAACTGTGAGCAACCCTTATGTTTAAATAAAGTATTAAGTTGATCAACAATACCACGCATTGCTAGACCGTTTGCCTTTCACGCGTTTGTGTTTAGAGAGCATCAACAAACCACATACATATTTCTCTCTATTCTCTCTTCTCTTTTTTATACTCAGCTAGCACAGCGGAAAAAAAAAAAAAAATAACCTTTGCCAGCTCCAGGCAGGCGCAAAGAGAAACTTATGTACAAGCAGCGCT